ATATTTTATGCAGGTTTTGATCTCGAAATTTTAAAAATCCGCAATTTTGATCGAAAAATCCGCATTTTATATAAAAAATCCGCAAAAAATTATCAAACACAAAAATTGAATTAAAATCACTTTATGCATTATATTTTTTAACTTAACAATTGAATTATGCACTTTTTTATTACTAATGATGATCCTAAGAAAATCCGAACAATTATCTGAATAATTACACTTGAATTTTTGTCGTCGAAGACGCCAAAAATTTTTATATCTTGTTTTTTAGCGACGCAGGCGAAAATTTTAAGGATTTTAGACGGTCTTAGCAGAAAAATAATGACACAAGAAAATACAAAAAATCCTCATAATCTTCAAAAGACCACAAAAATCCGCAAATCCGCATTTTTAAAAATAATCCTCATCGCCTTATCAAAAAACCACAAAATGAGGAAAAATCCGCAGATATCGAAACTCTGAGTTTATGGCATTTTTTTGACATAAAAATTATGTCTAAATTCGAACAGATTCAAACATATCAAGATAAACTAAATGAGACTCTCACGTTTTTACCCAAAATTAATTTTAAAAAATCTTAAAGAAAAGAAATTCTTTATGCAAAATGAATATAATTTGAAAACAAATCTAGATAAACCAGGTTAGCTGAATGCTAAGGAATTTACTTTAAAGCAGGGTTCTCATCGACAAAATGCCCATCAAAAGTATCAAAATCTTGATTAAAAAGTAGATAGGGACTAAATTTCCAAATAAAAAGTACACTCCAAATTAAATTAGAAAATATTTATTCGTGCTCAAATCTTTTATATTTCTATCCTAAATTAATCTTTTCTAATAGTTTCTTGTTTCAACTAAGCATTTTGTGAATTTCGATGCACTTTTTGTGGCACCGAGGCACCAAAAAATCTATTTTTTGCGCGCAGGTGAAAATTTTGAGAATTTCAAAGGCCGTAGGCCAAAAAAAATCACTTTTTTGCCCAATGTCTTCCCCAATTTCATTTTCAATCCAAAATGTTGATTTAGAAGTAGATACTTTCAAAAAAGTACTAATGAGAACCCTGCTTTAAAGCTTATAATGAATTTTGAAATAACCGGAGCGGGGAAATCAAACTAGAAAAAAGGAGAGAACAACACTAATTAGTTAAATAAAGTTTTGAGGGACTAACATTTACGATAAAGTTAAATTTTAATATAAAATGAATTTGGAAGAATTTTAAAGAAACCCCAATTTAAAGGTGTCAACTCTTGTTTTGTGTTTGTTAAAAATATGCCTGGGAACAACCCAATTGTGGGCACATATTTGCGAATCCAAGGTTAAAGGCGCAAAGTCAAGTCCAAATCTTCATTAGAATAATCGTCCTCATTTCCTTGATGTTCTACATTTGTTGGTAATTGTTGTCCTCCATGGGGTGGGTGATCATATTGTTGCTGATGTCCTTCGGTTATGTGTTTACAACAAACCTTTAAAGGTTGTAAAACAAAAATATTATTAATGGATTTATATTTCTGGCTTCTCTAATAAATGAAGGTGGAAACGGGAGAAACATCCCTAATCTTCGAACGAGGATCAGAAATGTTCGTAACACCAAAATTTTTGCCGAGAAATAAACAAAATCTAATAATTCAGCCCTATATAGAAATTTTTAAAACGCAAAAAATTAAATTCTCAATAACAAATTCTATTTAAAAAAATACTTCATTGCAATGAGGATGGGACTGACGATGATGTCTGTTACAATTACCCTTAAGACCAAAACTTTTACTGCAATGAACACCATTATCATTAACATGCTTAAAAGGAATGATTTAAGAAATTAGAAAAAAATTTGTGATATTACCATGCAAACATAAGGTTTTACTTTAGTATGCACTGCAGTATGTTCTACAATATTACTTGTACGTTTAAAAGGGCGCCCATTTCTATCACAATTTAACCAGCGACATATGGAATCCTTTAAATTTTAAGAAAAAATCAGAGAGTTGATTTAAACCTCCCATATAGAGTTCGAAATTTGGAAAATGCCGGATCCGGTTTCCGGATTTCAAAAATTATTTTTTATCAGGATCGGATTTCCCGGATCAAAATCTGGAAATTTGAGTATTGAGGGATTGTTGAGGATTGATTGCCCTCATATTTTGTTGAGGGACATCAAGAGAGATATCTGTGGATATAAGTGGATTTTATGGGGTTAAGAATATAGATGGTAAAAGCAACTAATCATCGAGTTGATCAGTTAGCTGTGCTTTGGTCTGGGCTTTTTTCATGATGTACCTATTGAAGCAACCATTCATAATTTTTTCAACAGCAGGAGTATAATACATAATAGGAAAGTCTATTCCGTGCCACGACACTTGCAGATATGACATTTGCAGACCCGACTTTTGCAGTCCATCTCTTGATGATAGGAATAGGATCATGTTACGAGCACAGAGCCCAGCGACCGTTGACTCACCGCGAGGCGTGTGCCGCAAAACCCCGCGCGAAGCGCGGGGTTTTGCACAAGCGCCTTGCCGACGCTCCATAGGTCTACGTTGAACATTTTGAACCTCCGTAAAAAAGAGAATTAAAATTTTTTTCAAAAATTAATATCTGCAAGTGTCGTTATCTGCAAATGTCGATCTGCAAAAGTCGTCTGCAAATGTCTCGTCTGCAAGAGTCGTGACCGTCTATTCAGATAAATGAAAACATCCGGTCAAATTTAATAATTATTGTGACCTGTGCCGTTCTCGCATGTTCTTTAACATGTAGATCAAAAACACCTTCATTATCAAAACGAGATGAACATCCAGCCCAATCACACTTCCACCTTAATATTTTTTAAAATTAAAATAAATTTTTGTATTAACTCTAGGATATGTTGCCCGCTTGTTTCTCCTTTTCTCTTCCTCGATCCTCCTCCCTCAGAATAATTTTTTAAAATAAAAAATAAAATAACAATTGCATTGAATTTTTTTAACATTTTAATCTAAATTTTAATTTAAAATATTTTTCTTTGAATTTAAAAAATATTTAATTTTGGTAACCGTCTGAACTTTTTCTGATCAAGTCGGATCGAGTTGATTTTAATTTTTTAAAAATTCTATTTCGTCCCCTAACTGTCGGGTCCCCATAAGTCTGATCCCAAATGACGGTTAGCTTAATAAAGCATTTAAAATTAAGAAAAAAGAAAAAATAAATTAATAATAAGTATTATGGCAACTACTATTTATAAAAAGCTATTTGAGAGGGATGGGCAATTTACATGGGACTCTGCCAGGCTTTATCATTTAAAAATGGGAATGTAAGGACATTTCACAGAACATGCTTTTCAACGATCGTCTTTTGAAATTGAATTGTTAAAATAAACTCCACCGGCAAAGTTTCCTCTCAGCTTAGCAAATAAACCAAAAATAAAAACGGTATTCTGTGGCGGTATTGACGATCGGTTAATAACTTTGCATATGAGGACTCAGAATCAAGTCCCACAACTTTTTTGGAGGTGGGATTTTTGATTATTCCGACGTTAGAGTTATTTTTTCGGGCCTCATTTTTAAAGGGCCAGACCGATCGAATCTTTTTCGGGACAAATTCGATGCCCAACCCGATCTTTCGGACAAGACCGGATTGGGCCCCAACCCTAATCTTTAACATATACACATACTCTCTGTTGCCAGAAACGTCCGTTGATGGTTTACCCTTCTTTGGGATAATTATCCTCCTTCGATTAATTACCACTGTTAATTAGTGAAGGTCGCAATACTTACCTATGGTAATTTTTAAGCAAATAAGTTATTCTAGGATTGTAGTTTTTTTGAAAATTTCCAATCTATTCGGTGGAATGTCTAATAATTTTCCTTCAAATGTATCCCCATCCACCCAAAATCGAAATTTAGAATTGATCTAATTAGCGCATGATTCCTCAAAAAAAGGACAAATTAATGTGGAAAGCCAATATAGAGAAAGAAAAAATAAGAAATTGATTAGAAAAAAAAATTAAAAATAAATTTTTAAATTAAAATCAGAGGGGTATTGTGACTTATAGGACGTTTTTTTGGCTGGACCGATTTGGACAAATGAGGTGTCATTCGAAAGAGCTCGCCGAGCTGAGTCGATTGAGGGCCGAGTGAAGTCGATCCAACAATCAGGGACCGAGATACAGACCCCTGAAGTTTGAAAAAGAGAAGAAACTAGACCCTTTTGAAATTTGGATAGACTTGAGCCGATGGCCGGTTCGAAAGCAACCAACATTTTGGTTATTATTTATTTTCAACCATCGAAAATTTTTGTAAAAATTAAAAAAAATTTTTATTCGAAATTTAAAATAACAAGACTAAAACCCTCCTCCAAAAAATATTCCCCTCAATTTCAACAAATAGAAATATTTTCAGGATTGTAAACAGTATCTTCATAAATTTCTTTTAAACGAGCATCTTTACTTCTCAATTTAGACATTAAATAATTTTTTGTAAATTGCTTGGTTGGATCCAATAATTGAACATTTCTTGGATCTGCCAAATTTTCATCAATAATACATCTACCGTCTGCCATTACCTTTTTTAATAAAAAATTTTTATTTTATAAATTTTGTTTTGCTAATTTTTATGTTACTAGTTTTGATCTTAAAGAATTAAACAAATAAAAATGCCGCAAAATATATTAAATGAGTAGAGTAAAGCAGCTGGGATATAGCTATTTCTCTCCTTTAGCTAGTGCAAAATATTAATCGGCGGCTGGGAGCGAACCAGCATCTTCAGTAGACCGGACTGATGTGTTAGCCTTTACACCACGCCGCCTACTGCTCAGCTTTAGGAATTAAATAGCTATATGCTTTACAGTAGGGATGTCAGTTCAGACAACTTTTCGATATTTTAGGAAAATAATCGAGAAGTCTAATCACGGGTATAAGATAGAAATTCTGTAAGCCTTTTGAAGATAAAATCCCACGATTGGAGTAATACTTTTGCCTAGGTTAAGGCAATTTTAAAAATTTTATGGGTTTGTGTATCAAACCAAAGAAAACCTAAAGTTTACCTCCAAATAGGAACATTTTTAAAAAATTTTTCAAATTAAAAAAAAATATTTTAGCACATAAAACTACCTCTAAATTATAAACATCTTCAGGCCCCGGCTCTCCATTCGGAAAACTTATTGGACGAATTTCAATTAAATGTTTAATTTTCCAAAGTTGTTTATTATTTGATAATGTATTCATAAATATATGAAGTTCGCCAGGTTTGGGGTATTTTCCAAAAAGTTTACGGACATGATCGCTAAAATAATAAAAAAATTATAAGTTTTTTAAATTAATTAATAAAATAATTTTAGCTTTTTAAACCATTTTTAATAGAGAAAAAGTTCCTAACCCCCTCCCCATTATTTTAAATTAATTTTAAAATTCCTAGCCGTAAAATTCCATCAGACTTTTCCAAATCTCTAAAAATCCAGGCAACCCAAAGCTTTGGAGGTTCCACCGGCATTGGATCCGGAAATGTTTCGCATTGTTCAGCCAAAACATCCAAATCAACTCTGTTTACTCTATCATCTCGACGCGGCAAGTAACGCCAAACACGGTTGTTTTTCCTCCAAACCCAACACTGTCTAATTACTTTAGCCATTTCTCTCTCTGAAAAAGTCCTGTAAAAATTTAAAGAATAAATAGTCGAACCTCGTTATAAGACTTTGGACTTGAAAATCTTTTAACTTATAATAAGGTGCATCTTAAATAGGGGGTTATCAACCCCATGGGAAGCGGTTTAAGGGGGTTGAATCAGTTCGTTTACCCACGGTGGCCAAATTTAAAAAAACGTCTTAAATCCCGTTATGTCTAATATCTAGTAGCATTTTATGAGGTCCGACTGTATAAAAATTGAGAAAATATTAACGTTAAAAATAACGCTTCATTTTATTAAGAAAAATAATTTTAATGGAAAACTTTTTATTTTTAAAAAGAAAAACAGTCATAATTTTAAAATGAAAAATAAATGTAAAAATTAAAAAAATGTGTTGATGAATTTTGTATTTGTATATGGAAATTTAAATTGAAAGAATTTCTATCTAAAAAATCTCTGGGGTCAGATAAAAATAGCTACTCATTCTATTCTATGGCTTAAACCAAAAAGATATAGTTAAAGCTTTTTTCGAAAATTTCAGGATATTTTGGCAACATTTCAAAATTCCTAGAAATCAAGAGTTCACGGTTCCGTTTCATGGACCCAAGAAAACTGACTTCCAACTCCACTCAATAAAGATTTGTATGTATTATTATAATGCTAGCCCAATTAAAGAAAAAAGATTCGCTAACATCCCTTTAAAATTGTAAATATAAGGGGCAACTTTACGTGGGGAATTTGGGTTACTCTCTCAATTTCCCTTAATATCCCAATACAAATAAAAAATTAAATTTTGATAATTATCTTGTCTCGTTTTTTCCTCCTTTTAATCAAAAAATTATAATTTTTTTCAAAAAAATTATCTGGCCGTTCCATTACTACTTTGTTGTTGTTGATGTTGCAAGTCTCCATTTTGTTGTTGAGTATTTAAAGTATTTGTTGATGTAGTTCCTGAATTACCTCCATTATTTGATGATGAAGTATTTTGTTGTTGAGTTAAAGTAGATGCTGTCTGGGCAGTTTTCTTACGTCGACAATAACGACGACTTTTTAGAAAGAAAAAATTAATAAAAATTATTTTTTAATTTGTTTAAAAATCTAATTTCTGCTCTATTTGAAGCCGAAAAAAATTTAAAAAAATTTCAATTTCAAATAAAAATTTCTTTCAAAATTTTTTGTTAATTTTTACCACCATAAAAACCTCTGCGGAATTTCATATATTTAAGAGAATAAAAAATTAAATAAACTTACTGCATTGGCCAATGAGTTTGTTGACATTCAACACTACAATAGGCTGTATTCCTAAATAAATATATTAATTTTAGGTTAAAAATCAAATAAAAAAAAATTTTTAGAACTCGAAAAAATATTTTTTAAAAAGAAAGAACGGTTGGACAATATTTTCGTGGCACTCAAAAACTTTAAGAACAATACATAAAAATTTAAAGTTTTTCCCCAAATATAGTTGAGAAAAATATTTTAGAGTTTTATTAAAAAACAAAAAATTTTTATACCAACAACAATGATATATAGCTTCTTGTTCACACTGCCAACACCATTGCTTTTTCTTAGCCATTTGTAATTCACGCCTATGCTTTTCATTTAAACGTTGAACTTCATCTTGCAAACGCCGTTGAAAAAGCTCTTCTTGCCTTGACCTAGAAAAATTATTTTAAAATTAAAAAAATTTTCTTAAACCTTTCAGCATCCATTTCATCACGATATTGAGCCATATATTCTGTCTGCTTTCTTTGCAAATCAGAAATATATTCTTGATGTAACTTTAAAAAATAAAAAGTTTAGAAGGAATTTAAAGGAAAAAGTTAGCACAAGTAAAGGTTAAGCCCTCAGAAGTCTGAGGAGCATTACTGGTAACTATTGCTAGAGGCATTTCACCCTCTTCAGCTGCTCTATGCAAACATGGCGAAATACTTGCTTTCTCCCCTTCTATAGATTCAAGTGTACCCTCCATAGTCCCCTGTGTCAATAAATGCTATGAATTTTATGTTCTCTGAATTTCATGTTCTACCTAATATAACGAAAAAAATTTTGAAGAGAATTAAATCTAGGCCCCTTAAAAAAAATACCCCAAAGATAAGTCCAATTTAATAATATCAATAAAAAACCTTTTCAGTCAATTCAACAAGAAGCTTCTCTCTATTTTGTTTATATTCCTTCAACCAAGTCTGTTGCAATTCAACAAGAATTTCACGCATTCTTTGTTCTGAGATCATTTGTTGTCCATCGATGACATAATTATCACTTAAAAATATAAAATTTTAAGTTTAAATTTTCGAGAATATCAATCAGCGTTGCCCGGTTCCCAAAGAGTCGTATGGTTACAACCCTAAAAGTTAAAATTTTCTACGATTACAATTTCTTGCTGGAACACAATTATGAAACCGGGACGATACAAGTTTCGCCAAAAGAAAATAGACCCAAACCCGCTTAAAGTCCATTAACCTTTCAAAAAATCAAAAATAAAAAAAAACCTATAAGTCGGATGCTCCACTTGAAGCGTCGGCGGCCTAGGCTCCCCAGTCGAAGTAGTAGCAGCACCAGGATTATTTCCTCCTCCCGAAATTCCAGCAACAATGCCATCTTCGGCAGAATTAACAGTCATCATCTGGTCTTGATCGTGATTGACATCTTGTTTAATTCCCTTCATTATCTTTTTAATATCTGACAGAATTAATAATCAAAAAAATATTAAAAATTTAAAAAATGAAGGCACAAAAAGCCATAAAATTAAATAATAAAAAAATTGTTTTTAAAAATTTTTTAATTTATTTTAGATTTGGACATAAGAAAAAAATAAATAATTAATTTTAGAGAAGAGTTGTACCATAAATTTTCCAAAAATAAATATAAGAAAATTAGGTACTAAACTCAAATAAATCGTTAGAAAAAATTAAAGAAATGTTAAAGAATTAAAATTAAGATTAAAAATTAATTTTAAGAGGCCTCAAAAATTAAAGGAGAAGACAATCACATTTGACGAGTGCTTTCTTCGATTCGTTCCATCTGATCGTAATCGTTAGCGTCGAGTGGTTGAATTACACGACCTTTTTTAAAAAAATTATTAAAATTAAAGATCTTCTAAAATTAATATAATTGAAGGTCACCAGGACAAAAAAATTTGCCAAAAATACTTCAGGAAAGTACTAATAAATCCTTAGGGAGAATAAAATACACAAGGAAAAATACTAAAAAAGGGAGAGCGCCCAAAAACAAATTCTACAATTCAATTAAAATTTAACATAAAAAATTCTTCACCAAAATGAGCCTGGAATTGATATACATAATTCATCGCAATATCAGAATCTGCCAAGTTAATAACTATTCCTGGCTTTCCAAAACGTCCAGTCCTTAAAAAAATTTTTTTTTAATTCCAAAACCATTCAAAAATTAAATTTACCTTCCCATTCTATGCAAATAAGTATCAAAATCAGGCTGTGGCATTTCCTCATAAGTGACAGGAGGATCATAATTAATAACTAGAGAAACTTGTGGAATGTCCAAACCTTTAAAGAAAAAATTTAAAAAAATTTTTCTAACACTCAAAATAACCTCTCGCAGCAACATTCGTCGTAATCAAAATTTTTTGATCTCCCCTTTTAAATTTTTCAACAACTTTGGCTCTCTCATCCACACTTAATTCTCCATGTAAAAGGGCTACATCTCTTCCTTTTTCTTTAAAACGTTCAGCTAACCATATTGTTGAGGAACGAGTATAACAAAAAATAATACATGAAGAAATTGTCAATACCGAATAGAGTGAAAGAATCTGAAAAAATTAAGGGATTTTAATGGAATGAATTAAATATTAGTTTGAAATTAGCGAAAATAAAACAATAAAACTAGACACTAGGGAACCCGATTCCTGGAATCAAAAATTTATTTTTGTGTCGCCTATATCCCTGCCAAACACTATAGAAAATGAAACAAAACCTAGTTCATCCTAGAGACGTCCATGACCAAGAATTTTCCTAGATTCCAGACAAAACGTTTTGGACGTTTTTAATGTACTTTGGAAGTTGATGGAAACATTTTTACAACTTTCGTAAATACCATTTTTAATCTAGACCATTGCAAATGCTAAAACCCCCTCGGATTTGCAAAATTTCTAAGGCTAAATGATAGGGTAAATGAATAAAAAATATGAGTCTCCTAGGATTTTTGAAACAACGATTCCATGTACAAAACTATTCTTTTACTATACAGACTAATTTAAAAATCTAGACCACTCAAATGCCAAAACAAAAATAGTTTTTTTTTTAAAAAATAATAAGAAAAATTATTTTTTAAATACCTAAATACTTAACAAAAACTCTCAATCAGAAATAAGCTCTACCCAAAAAAATAGGAGGAAAAAGTAAAGTCAAAAATGTATAGAATAAACACAGCATACAAGCACTGTGGGTTTAGGAAAATCAATCGTAGTTTTCAACACAAAAACACCATACTGTGGGCTTTCTCTCTACTAAAAACTAAAGCTATATATACCAATTCCCCTCTTTCCCATGCTCATCACAATTTTTATTACTATATTGAAGGTTAGCACACTGTCGTTTTTCTTCCTCTCTATGTTCTCTTACCCTTATATTTTTAATGTGAATTTTGCCTTTCTACTATCTGTCCTTTAAAACAAAGCCTTCACAAAGAAAAATAATATTTTCGAAATTATTAATGAGTCGTTCTTTGTCTCATTTTAAAGTAGAAACAATTTTTGGTTAGGTTTTTACTCAGAAATTTGTCTGGAAAGTGTTTAATCTGCACGTTATAAATAGAGTTGGCGTTTTCGAGTCGAGCCGACGTTCGAGTCATTTTCCCCTCAAACCTAGTTATAAAATAATTTTTTGATACAAAAATATTTTCAAAAAAATCATTAAAATACCGCTTGATATTTATCTTCACGATCTTTGCTACGCACATAATATTGCCGGATATAGGGTAGACTTTGATCTTGACGTCGAATACTTAAAGAAATATTTGGTTATAAAATTAATTTTTAAATTTTTTATAAAAAATGATTTTCAAAATAGTTGAACAGAGAAAAGCCTCTAATATAAAAAAAATTTTCCGTCAAATCAATTCATTTTTCAACGTGTTACCGACTTGATATTAACCTATTTTTCGGCTTTACTGATAAATTGATTCTTAGTTAAAACATTATTAAATTATACATAATAAAAATCCTCACGTAATTATAATAGGATCAGCAATCAATTTTCCAGCAAATTGAAAAACAGAGTCAGAAAAAGTAGCGCTAAACAGCATACATTGACAATTTGGGTTGGCTGCTATTATATTACTTTAAAAAATTTTTTTTCTTAAATTTTCTTTAAAAATTAAATCACAAACTTGTGTATAAGTATGCTTTTATCTTGATATCCTTGTTGACTTATCATTACATCAGCCTCGTCTAAAGCAAAGGCAATAATACGAGATGTGTCGATGTAATTCTTAAAATTAAAAAAATCTTTTTCAGTTTTAGTTGTTTAATAAAAAATATAAAAAAATACCCGTAATATCCAGTCAAGCATTTTACCCGGAGTTCCAATAATTAATTGTTCGGTGAATTTAGTAGCATTATTTTGAACTTAAATATTTAATAAAAATTAAAATTTAATTTTAAAAAGGGCCCAAAACAGAGGTAGAAAAAGAAAATCGTAACAGGCAAACGTAATTTGGAGGCGAAGATTGTGACCCCTTTAATTATTGTCTCAAAATTTAATTGTTTTGTTGCTAAATAACCTACTAAAATCCTATTTTCATAAAAGTCCACTCTATAAGACCCACCTCAAAAACAAACGCCCAGAGTCTTTATCAGGTCATTCACTATAAAAATTCCAACATATCAGGCCATTCAATATTATAAAAATCCCAACAAAAAAAAAGAAACCTGATTCTCCCTTAACAGCAAAACGTATCTGCACATCAGGCAAATAGGCAGCCATCTGTTTTGCTACATCTCCAATTTGTTGAGCTAATTCAAATGTTGGTGCAACAACAATACATTGAGGTTCTTTTTGGGAAGGATTAAGTCTTTGTAGCATTGCAAGAAGAAATGTGGCTGTTTTGCCTGTCCCGCTTTGAGATTGGGCAATAATATCTTGAGGACTAAAAATTATAAATGAATGGGTAAAAAGTACAAAAATATTTATTTCAAGGGAGAAACATCAACTTTGTATATAGGGCCAAGTCCTTTGGCCCCCGTATTACCCTTCTTTATTCGGGAGGGGAAGGGAAAAAGATACTAATAATTTAAAAAATCTGAAAAATCCACTTTCCCGCCCCCAAAAATAATTTTATAATTAAAAATTGATTTACGGATCGCTTAGAAGAACAGGCAAAGCTGCTTCCTGTATTTTCGAAGGTTGCTGAAATCCCATCATACGCAAAGCTCGAATCAATTCAGGTTTTCTAAAAATAAAAATATATAAAAAAAACTAAAATAAAAAGCAAACAATGCCAAATCCTCAAATGAATGAACAGAATAAAGAGGCGATGTTGGATCACTTTGTAGTTTAGAAACTTCAGGCACTCCCTCGTTGAGTTGGTTAAGTTTATCATTGAGCACTTTGTTTAAGAAAGAAACTTCTGCCTGTGGAATAGCTGAAAAATTTCAGTTAGTTTAAACAATAGTAAATTAGCAGTCAAAATATTGGGACCCGTTCAGGGCATTTTTTTATTAAATTCTAAGCGGGAAGAAATGATAGGACCCAAAAAACTTCAGTACTAAATGCCATTTCTTAATGAAAACAATCGCAAAAAAACGTTTAAAATTTAAATGAATAAAAAAACCTTTCTCATCTGCTGATCCAAAATAATGCGATGGTCCGGCGCTTATTGGCTGAATTCCAAACGAATTCTGCATCGCCATACAAATGGCAAATAACCACTCTAAACCTTAATAATTCCTTTAAGCCTAAAAAAATTAAAACAAAATTTATCTACTTTTAAATCAAATTTTAAAAAAATTAAAGCAGTTTTTGATAAAATGCGTAATAAAAAAATAAACAAAAATTTCATTATAATTTATTTTATTCATCATCCAAAATTTTAATTTCTATTTGTAAAAATTCGAATAATTCCACCGTGTCCACAAACTTGGAAAGCCTGAAAAATGAAAATTAAATAATTCAAGAAAAATTTTTTAATAATTCATATCATAAGGACAAAAATTTAAAGGATAATTTTCAGTGGAATTAAGAGAAAAGGAATTGCTTGACTCACATTAGAAAATTTTTTCAATAGTTAAAAATTTGGAAATTTTAAAAATCCACCTTCAATACTCTTTGACAATTGAATAAATTAAGGATTAATTTAGGGATATGAAAATTCATAAAAAAATATAAACTCGTCTTTCCAATTTAAAAATTAATTAAAAAATTATTTTTTAACAAAGGAAATTGTAGAAAAATTAAAAACAATCTAAAATTATTTCAAAAAAAGAACCTGGGCATGCCAAGCAAGCAAAGAACTACAAGTTTGTCCATCCGGTTGTTGCTCCATCCCTTTGTAAATATATTTCATCAATAAATCAACTTCATCAATTGTCAAGGCTTTTACTGTGGATTCCATTTCGACGCTTTTGAAGCTTGTTAGAACTCGTGTAGCTAATTGAACAACTTTGTCTCGTAATACCTAAAAGGGAATTTAAATAAAAATCAGTATTGGGCAATTTAAGGGAAAGAAAACTACAAAATAACCAAAGATCTATCAAAGATTTCAAATAAACCTGATTTTTAATTTGTGAAGGATTAAAAGATAGCACAATCTTTAAGGCATCCAAATTTCTATTGGATTGTAGCAACTGTCGGATTTGTGCCTCATCTGGCCCCAAAATATTAGCACCAGCTTCACCATCCAGTTTAAGGCCAGTTACGCCCTGCTCGTCTTCAAATTTTTCCAAATCGAAAGCATCAACGTCGAGTTTGCGATAAGCTGTGTCAGACAACACATTTTTAGTCATTATTAACTAAAAGAAAAAACGTGAAAAAAAACAAAAGCACTTCAGCAGGAATGAAAAAAAGTTGTTGCGTTTATCACCTTTGATGTTTCGTAATTTGATATTTTAAAATAAAATTTAAATAAAATGTCGTTTTGTCAAATTAGTCAAAATGCAAGACTACCAAAATGCCTAAATACCAAATGACCAGTCAATGGAGAACCTAAAAATTTCTTGTCTTCCTAAAAGCAAAAAAAGAAAAATCAGAATTTTTTTGGAAAAATGGTCGATGATTTTTAATCAAATTGATAGTTAGTTGTTTGTTTTTGTGCAGTCATTTTTTCAGATGGACCACGCCAAAAAATGTTCTTCGCCTTTTCCATTGATTTATGCTTCTCCCTTTTCTTTTCTTTTGCCCTAACATCCGTTGAAACCACATGGCGTAACGTGCAAAATATTCTCAACAAAGTAGTCGCTAAAGAAAGAATAAAAAAGTAGCTAGTTCCTTTCAGCAATAAAATTATTTGCCAATCGAAGTGAAGTTACTTGACGTTTATTGTTTGAAAGCTTCATTGAGTGACTTTATAGACTTTAAAAAAAGTTAATTTCTCGTTCTTACTAATTTACTGTTATTTCTTTAGAAACAAAAATGGATCGTCTCAGTTGGTACCAGAGTGGGGAAGCTATGGAAGAAATTCTTTGTCAAGCCGGGTCTGTTGGAATTTATGATGGGGATGTTAAACAGGTGCCTTTTTAGCGATTATTTTGGTAATTTATTTGTTAAATTTTTAGTCGTCGTTTGAGCAGGGGACAGTCTCACTGACCTATCAACGTGTAATTTGGGCTGATTCAAATGACCCCGATTGTCGTTTAATGCTCCACCATTCACTTGTTCAAAGGATAGAAAAGCAACACAAATCAATGTTTGGAAGGGGGGCTAAAATTGTCGTTTCTGTCCGTCCAGTGCCGACTGATCACCCACAAGGACCGATTTCGGCGGGAAATACAAATTCATTGCGATTTATTTTTCGAAATGGAGGAGAGGAGGATGTGAGTTTTTTTAAATATTTTTATTGTTCTAATGGTCTTTGATCATTGGATCAGTCAACCCTATTTAAATTCTTAAAGTTTTAAAATTCGGGGATTTTTGGCGTTATGTTTAAATTGATTTTTCTGATTGGAATTTGGAGAGATCGAATTTTTGATCGGTAATATCTGATTCCCGGAATCACTAATGGAATTTTTTTCAAATGTCGAGGGGAACAAATCCCACGGGATTAACCCCGTAACTCCCGGTAATCCCGTTTGCAGCTTGAAACTCCGCTACTCCTCGACGGCATTTTATGGGTTCCCTTAAAATCACGTACGGGATCCCATCACGTACATCACTCTGGTGATCAATACCCTCCTGGACTTTCTTTGTCATTAAATTACCTTCTATAATTTAAAGTTCTTTAAACGTTATATGGATGCTTTGGGCAAACAAATGTGGCAACGTGCTTCATCTAGTTCCAGTTCAGCCAGTTCTTTACGCACAAGCGGCACTCAACACCTCAGTGTTTCTTCCTCTGGAACTACCCATTCAAATTTAATAACCTCTCACCAAGCAAATACTATAGGCATTCGAAATGTGGGCATTTTGGGGATTGAAAAACGATTGGCAGAACAACACCAAAGAACGCATGAGCATATTAGTGAGGTATTTTTAATTTTAAAAAATAAATTGGAACTGTAAGTTATTAAAATTTGGGTTGGGGATTAGATTTTAGTTTTTTTCGATTTTTTTTTGAAGGTGGGTTGACGTTCTGAATTTTGGATGGTTATTTTGACAAATACCGAGGGAATAATTAAAAATTAGTTTTCTTTGTTTCTCACAAGGAAACATCTGATAAATTGGTAATTTTTTTGGTACCAATCGAGCGGACCACCGACTTTCGTTTGTTTTGTGCTGCAGGTTTTTCTGCAAAATGAATTTCGATTGGTACCAAAAAGATTACCAAAATTTTGTACACAGTATCAGATGTTTCCTTGTGAAGATCAACGGAGAACCGTCTAATGGTTTCTATGTTTTTTGGTCTAGTCGTCTGAATTTTCTTTGATATTTTCGCTAAAAATTCCAATTTTCTTTCCATTCTCTAACATTTTCTAATAAATTTCCAAAATAAATTTTTCAAAAAATTTAAGGCTTTCGAAGACATGAGTAAACTTATGGATCAAGCTAGGGAGATGGTCAATCTTTCTCGTAATATTGCTGAACGTATAAGGCAGAAAAAGGGAGAAATTACCGATGACGAGGTTTTTTTTTTGAATTTTTATTTTTGAAAATTATTTTTTAGACTGTCCGTCTTAAAAGCTATTTGCTTTCCCTTGGTGTTGCCGACCCCGTTACAAAATCAGTTTTTGGTGCTGGGGCGGTTTTCTTTGAAAGGCTGGCACAAGAATTGACAAATGTTTTGTACGAACCTTTACAAGGTTTTTTAAAAAATTTTTAGGATTTTTAAAAGAATTTTTTAAAGAATGTGGAGGTACAATGACTTTGGCAGATGCTTATTGCCGTTGGAATAGAGCAAGAGGATTGGAACTTGTCTCACCCGAAGATTTATTGAATGCTTGCAATAAATTGGAAAAGATTAATTCTCCTATATGGTATTTTCTTTTTGTTTTTTAAGCCCTCAGAAATTAAAAATGAAGGGAGGTTACGGGATTAAAAGTCATGTAGGAACTTGGCTAACCCCTAGGTTTTTCATGAACCCCAAGTCTTAGATTCATGTCAGCCCAGCTTCAGTAAATCTGACTCACAAATCAGATTCCAGGCTTTTTAAAATATCGGTCTCTTTTAAAAATTTTTGGAAACTCAACTGATAGAAAAAAGGCCACGTTTAGAGTTTAGAAAATGGCCGCTTTCCGAGTTCTTTAACTTTTTTTCAAAATTAAAAAAAATTTAGTCTTTATACATTTGATAATGGAGTTCAAGTACTTCAACTATGTTCATTAAATATGGAGAAAATGGCTGATGAAATTTTAGAAATGGTTAATGCAATGACTGATAATGGAAATTCTCCCAATGGATTTAGTGCAGCCCAGTTGGCTAAACATTCTGGAATTTCACTTATTTTGGCATCTGAAAGGTTTTTATTTTACAGTTTTAAATTAAATTTTGATTAAATTGTGATTAGAGATTTATTTTTACAAATCTCAGAATTTATGTCCAGGATCCCTTGAAAAAATATTTAGTTCTCGATTTTGGTAAAAGGCTGCTCTCAAAAAGGAAAATAATACCACAAAAAACAAATTTCCTTTTAGTTCAGAATTTTTTGCTATGTTTTAATATTGGTGCAGCTATTCCTAGGGATCCAAAGATGGGGCACTTAGGAGAAAAAATTTAAGCGAAGAGATTTTAGGGGAAGGGATTTTAACCAAATTTTAAAAGAGGAGAATCTTACTTCGCTTAATTTAAATTCAATTTTAAAAAACTTTTATAGGTTACGTATGGCAGAAGATCAGGGTAAATTATGTAGAGATGACACAATCCAAGGATTATTCTTTTACCCAAATAATTTTAATTTGTTAGAAAGTGGAGATAAAGAAGAAATTGATAAATTAGAGTTTAGTAAAGGTATTGATAATTAATTTAAATTTTTGTTTCAAAGATTTTTGTTTAATTTTCGATTTATTTTTGTATAAGTGACAAAACGTTTATATTCAATTTGTTCTCTTTTGTCAACGAAGTCTTAAAATGTAGTTACCCTAATTTAGAATTATTGTAAAAAATATTAGGTTTGGTGTAGTGGATAAAAGTTTGATTTTGTATGACTACTAGAGATCGAGATTTTTGAAAAGCCTGGACCTGTTCTTTCTGTTCCTGGCCCCGTAGTCCCGGAAAACCCAGGCCGAGCTCGGTCCCTACTGACTACCCATAACCTAATGGGCTGGAAGCTCGATCCCACCATTAGAAAACTGGAAAAACATGTATTTAATTATTAGATGATTACAAGTTTTTTAAATTAAATAATTTTTTATTTATTCTAAAATTAATAAAATTTAAAGAAAATATTATTAACCATTAACAGCAAGTCTTTCATTTATTCTTTCCCTCTCTTTAATTTTTGTCAATTCTTCTTCAACTTGTTTACTCAATTCTTCATATCTCGGAGCATATTCTCTTAAAATAACAATTTTTCCATCTTCAATTTCCATTTTCATTTCTTCTAAAGGATCATAAATTTTATAAACAGTTGCCATTCCAACAATTGCACCAACAGAACAAACACCCAATTTGCGTATATAATTCCAAGTTGCAGCTGATGGCATAAATAAAGTTTAAAAATATGAAAAATAAATTAATAAATCTCTAAATTAATAGAATAAATATTGAAAAATATGAAAATGTCCACAGAATCATTTTTCTGTCCATTTTGGACGTTATGCTTTTATTTGTGGGTGTTGGCATTTTGTCCAGTTGGTGTTTTAAGAAAATTTGGTATTTTGTTTTTTTATTTGAGTTATAATGTCAAATTGGTAACTTTTGGAGAATAATTCATAATATCTACTTTTAAATTATTTTTCATCATTTTTCTTGTTTTTGATTTTATTTTTATGTAATTTTTATTGCTTACAATTTTCAGAGTTTTAGACATTCACGATAAAATATTTAAATAATGGCGAGACGTTATGATACGCGTACAACTATATTTTCTCCAGAAGGTCGACTTTATCAAGTTGAATATGCGTTGGAAGCAATTTCTCAAGCTGGGACTTGTTTAGGAATGCGAACAAATGAAGGCATTTTTCTGGTAGCTGAGAAACGGGTTACAGATAAACTGCTGGATTCTAATGTTTGTTTGAATTTTTGTTAGAGAATTTTCCTAAGATACTTCCTCAAATTTGCTAGAAATGCAGAAGATCTAGGCGATGAAGTGTCCTAGGCCCAGTCAATTTTATCTTTCCTTCTCAATTTCAGGCCAATCAAAAATTAGTTCTGGTCTCCACGCTTTAAAATTTGACAACCAAAAATTTACCCTGACCTCATTTCTCATTTGTAATTGAATCAATCTTCTCTACATTTCCTATAATAATTTATTTTTTAATTCACTTTTCCAGGTTATGCGCGAAAAAATTTTCAAAATTTCTCAAAATGTTATATGCGCCGTCGCTGGAATTACAGCCGATGCTAATGTTTTAGTGAGCAAATTACGTGCTATGGCAGCTGGTTTCCGCAGTAGCTATGAGGATGATATTCCAATTGAACAGCTTGTCTCACTTTTGGCTGATTTCAAACAAAGATATACGCAAGTTGGAGGTTGGGTTTTAAAATTTATGATAGGAACCCCTTACTTTTTTCGACCCGAATCCGAAATTTATGACAGGCTATTTTCCCTTAAATCAAATTAAAACGGTGTTCATTCACCTCTCTTGATCAGTTTTTGGCTTCTCCCCCTTTCACTGTACGTACCAGGGATTTCACTGGTTACCCGAACCTTTTACTTTTTTTCCGACCCGAATCCGATTCGAAGAAAATTTTCAAGACTCGACCCGACTTTCTCAATCCGTGACGTACCTGGTACTGATCCCTCCCCTTTTTGGTAGTCTTTTGATTAATTTTCAATAAAATTTTAGGAAAGCGCCCCTACGGTGTTTCTCTTCTCTATGCTGGTTGGGATCTTCATCACGGCTTTCAACTTTATCAATCCGATCCAAGCGGCAACTATACGGGATGGTTTGCTACTTGTGTAGGCAAAAATCAACAAACGGCAGTTTCTCACTTTAAACAGGAGAGCAAAGACAGTGTGGAGAATATGACTCTTGAGGATGCTAAAAAGCTTGTTATGAAGGTTATTTTTGGGAATTTATTGTTTTGGTGTTTAAATGGGAATTTTGGAGATTCTTGCTCGCAAAAATTTATTTGTCCGCAAGTGTTGTCCGCAAATATTTTAAACATAAAAAAAATTCTTTTTTTGTAGGTTCTTTTCAAAACTCTGGATAGAAAGCCAACAACAGAACGATTAGAAGTTGCTGAATTGAAAATGGTTGAGGGCAAATTGGTTATGCGTTTTGTTCCAGATGATGAAGTAAAGGAACTTATTGTTGAAGCTGAAGAAGCTTGTAAAGCTGCTGCTTCAACTGATTAAAGAATTTTTTGACATATTTGTTGGTTAAATTAATGTAAGGAAAATGGGAATAATGATATTAAAATATTTAATTTGGAAAATATTTTTTTAAAAAGGTACTTTCAGGAATTTTTCCAAAACGAACTTTCGGGAATTTTTCCAGACTTTTTTTCCTTTTTTCCATTCTTTTAAAATTTTTTTGAAAATTTTTTAAACTCCCAAAAATATCAACAATTACCAGAATTAGGTGTGGATAAAAATGCCCCAAACAGATATTCTGGCAAATTCTGCAAAATTAGTCATTATGTAATTGATAAGAGAGAAAGGGTCAACGTCCTCAGTAATAAAAATAAGTAAAAATAGATTAAATCGGAATAATAAGAGAGGGGAAAAGAGTTTAATAGCCAAAAGAAAGAGCAAATTAATCCAAAAAAATAATCATTTAAAATAGTTACGTATAAGCCCAAATAATAAATATAATTGTTCATTTTAAATCAGCCATATTCTTTCTTTTATAATATAAAATATATGCCGCGTTAGTCTAAAATGTGATTTTTTGAAAATCTGAATTTAACTTTAATATATACCTTAATATCACTCAAATTCAAATTCGTAATAATTTTATCGTTACACCACAGCCATTCTTTTGTTTCCTTGTTTTTAATTTTCGCGGTAAAATGGTCTACCGGAATTGTATAGTGTTCCTGAAAATACTGGTCTACCGGAATTGTATAGTGTTCCTGAAAATACTGGTCTACCGGAATTGTATAGTGTTCCTGAAAATACTATACAATTCCGGTAGACCAGTATTTTCAGGAACACTATACAATTCCGGTAGACCAGTATTTTCAGGAACACTATACAATTCCGGTAGACCATTTTACCGCGAAAATTAAAAACAAGGAAACAAAAGAATGGCTGTGGTGTAACGATAAAATTATTACGAATTTGAATTTGAGTGATATTAAGGTATATATTAAAGTTAAATTCGGATTTTCAAAAAGTCACATTTTAGACTAACGCGGCATATATTTTATATTATAAAAGAAAGAATATGGCTGATTTAAAATGAACAACTAATTATTTGGGCCTTATCTCTATGCTCATTTTTTTGGTTATTGATTAAATTCTTTTTACCTCTCTTATTATTCCGATTTACTAATTTTAACATATTTTGCTACCGAGGCCGTTAACTCTTTCCCTATTATTCAAGTACATTACTTTTGCCAGAAAATTAAAAACATATTTTACTCAAATCGAGATTGGTTATCACTGCCCCGAATTTTTTTTGACTCGTCCTTATTTTATATGCATTTCTTGGAATGGCTATTGGAGATTTTCTGTTTGGGGCACTTTTTTCTACACCTGACTCTGGTAGTTGTCGATATATTTTTTCAAAAAAATTTTAATACAATACATACAATATATATTTGGATTTGGTTATTTTTATTAAATAAATTTGTTTTTAAATTTAATTCTTTTAATATAATCTAGGGGTAATTCAGCCACCGGGGCTTCGCCTCCTATGGACTAGGATTTTTTTTTTGATTATACTAATTATTGAATCTGCTTTCATTTCTTGAATTCTGAAAAGATTGTTCAACTGTACTTGAATTTCCACTCATATTCAGTTCTTTCTTGAAGTTCGAAGTAAAAAATTGTCAATTTTTATTAATTATAGAGCTGAAAAGTCCAATTGTTGACCTCCTTTAAATAGGAATCAGTTTGCCTAAATTAACAGACGTTATTTTCGACCCTTTGTTTTTTAGTTAACTTTAAGCATTTTCTCTAGAATGGCTTTCTTTCTCCTTCGCTTTGGGGTATCTCCTTTTTTCTCTTCATTGTCTAGACTTTCTTCGGGCAAAATAATTGTAGTTTTTATTTGGCCACGACATGATGGAATGAATAAAATATCTAGGTCATCAAGTCAACATTTCTGCCTTTCCGTTTATTTAAAATATATTCCTCTACCTTAAATATGACTCATGAATTTTTTTGGTTTCTTGGCTATTAACAAACCTTAAAGCCAAGAAATTAAAGGTTGTTGATTATTTATTTCCTTATTTTTTAGTAAGATGCTACTATTTTCATGTTGAAACCAGACCTACTCCATGGACACAGTGTTTGCTATCAATTGGATATATCTGTGAGTTCCATATCCGTTACTTCTTAGGCATATCCATCCGCGGGGACATGCCCAAGTAGGCGCGCGGCCAAATAGGCGCAAAGCCATAACCAACTTGAAAATCTATAAACCTTAACAATTTTGGTAACAATCTGTTAAGCTCGATGAGAGGAATCGTTTAATACTAAATTTTGAAAATTCGGAAATCTTGAATCAAGTTATGACTTTGCGCATACTTGGGCCGTACCCCAGCTTAACGTGCTAATTGAAGCCGGTTCAATGGCACTGAAATAAAACTTTTTTAATCTCACCGTACCGTTTCGATTGAATTTTAACAGGTGTTATATTAAAGTAAAGTAGGAAAGAAATTTAAAAAAGATTTACAAATTATTAATAATTTTAAATAAAACTTTATAGAGATGGTGGCATTAAACTAAAACTAAATAACGCAAAAAACAGCAAGGGATGCTTAACTGCATGGCTATGCGCAATTAGCAATTGCTATTGGTCTGGAACTTACAGCCAAATTACCACTGTGGAGATTATGGTATAATTTTTTCCTTAAAGCAATACTCTTATGTCGATTTCTTTAACAATGTACTAAATCTTTATTGTAAATTTAAAATTAATCGTCAATGAACCTTCATAAATACGCTTAACGGGGCACGCCCAAGTAGGCGGGCGGCCAAGTAGGCGCAAATCCATAACTAGCTTGAAAATCTTTAAACCTTAACAATTTTGGTACCATTCTGTTTGGCTCGATGAGAGGAATCGTTTAATACTAAATTTTTGAAAAATTCGGAAATCTTGAAGCAATTTATGACTTTGCGTCTACTTGGACTACCCAGCTTAACGAGTTAATTTAAGCTATTTCAATGTTACTCTAACCATCTAACTGAAATTTAAAAATTTTATCTGAACCACTTGAACTATATCGAATTTGGTCTCCCTCATTATTAGTAGTGTATGAGCACGTTGAATTTTATGGTTATAAAATTTTTGTATTATGTATTTCAGAATGCTATAGCACAGCTGCTTGGGGAAAAATATAATGGCCAGTTACCTGATTCTGCGTACAATTTTCAAGAATTGCTGTTAAGCAGTCTTTCTGATGATGTAAATGAAGTGAGTACATTATTTTTAAAAAGAAATTGGGCGAAAAGAAATTGGTGAAAAAGGAATTTGGGCTAAAGGAGGCAAAAAATTCGGAAATTTTCGTGTAAATTTTTGGTTTATGCGATAATTTTTTCATCTTCACATAAATCCCCTCTGTAGACTACTTGCTTTCCTTGACTGCACTTTATTTATTAATGGAATATGAGATATTTTAGCTCTCAGCATCTAATTTCCGTCAAAAACTAATAAAATTGCCAAAAATCGGGAATTGGATTTTCAATTTGGCAGAATACCATTTATATAAACATTTTTAATTTAGGTTAGTTATCCTGCTGGTTTTGTAGACACGAGCTTTGCTATGCAGCAGTTCATCAGATTATTTCAGGAGAAGTCGAGATAATATTTACTTGACTTATGAAAATGATATTGAAAAGATTTCTAATGATTATGAAACAAAAATTCGATCAAATATTTCGTCATGTATATACAATATATTTCGTATTGTCCAAATAAGAATTTTTTCATGTCCTAATTTTAATTTGAAAATTAATTTTTAATTTTTTGATTTTAATTTTTAATTCATTAAAATTTTTTCTATCCAATTCTATTTCTTTTCTATTTTTTAACTCCCCTAACTTTGCCTTATTACTTCATTGGAAGAATCATGCGCCAATTATTCGAAGAAAATGGCTGAGTTAATCGTGATCAGAGTTGTTTCGAAATATAGATTTAAAAGGGGATGGTGATACATTTTGTGAAATATCATTGAATATTATACCGAATAAATGGAAAATTTTCAAAAAAATTTCTTTCACTAGAAAATAAAATTTATTTAATTGAGAATAAATCTGAACACTGATTTTTTAAATTTCCAGTTCTGAACATTCTACAATTGTGTGGACAAAATTTTTAAATTGAAAAAATCAAAGGAACATTTTTCTAATGATTATTAAGAGATTCATCTCGATTGTATCACATTATCTCCTAGTAAACAAATTCATTTCTTTCTCCTTTTTTAGACAAAATAGTCGTATTTTTTATTAAGCATGTATTGTTGGAGGAGGAGGGAGTAAAAAGGTCAACATAACAAAAGTTAAATTCGTCACATTTTTCCCTATTTTGTAATATGTATGAACGTATGACTCATAGAAAATTTTATTTTACATTGCATTTATGCGTTAATCAAGAATTTTATTTTTAAATATAATTTATTGTAATGTGTAATTTATAAAAATATTGCTAAAATAATTTTTACCTTCCAATAAATGCGTTCTTTATCATTATTTTTGCTTTAGATTAAATAAAAACCGAACAAGTTTTAACCTTTAATTCCTTTTGATTTAACCTTTTTTGTTCATATCACCTATAAACTTAATTTTCAACTATTTAATAGATAGTTGAAAATCTATTAACTTACTGGAAATGGAAATAAATAATTTTATTATAAACTCAAATCAAGTACTCGAATTCAAATGAATTCTCGAGATGAAAAAATAAAACAAAAATTTGTTGCTTATTAGCAACTCAAATCAAGTACTCGAATTCAAATGAATTCTCGAGATGAAAAAATAAAACAAAAATTTGTTGCTTATTAGCAACTCAAATCAAGTACTCGAATTCAAATGAATTCTCGAGATGAAAAAATAAAACAAAAATTTGTTGCTTATTAGCAACTCAAATCAAGTACTCGAATTCAAATGAATTCTCGAGATGAAAAAATAAAACAAAAATTTGTTGCTTATTAGCAACTCAAATCAAGTACTCGAATTCAAATGAATTCTCGAGATGAAAAAATAAAACAAAAATTTGTTGCTTATTAGCAACTCAAATCAAGTACTCGAATTCAAATGAATTCTCGAGATGAAAAAATAAAACAAAAATTTGTTGCTTATTAGCAACTCAAATCAAGTACTCGAATTCAAATGAATTCTCGAGATGAAAAAATAAAACAAAAATTTGTTGCTTATTAGGAACTCAAATCAAATACTCGAATTCAAATGAATTCTCGAGATGAAAAAATAAAACAAAAATTTGTTGCTTATTAGCAACTCAAATCAAGTACTCGAATTCAAATGAATTCTCGAGATGAAAAAATAAAACAAAAATTTGTTGCTTATTAGCAACTCAAATCAAGTACTCGAATTCAAATGAATTCTCGAGATGAAAAAATAAAACAAAAATTTGTTGCTTATTAGCAACTCAAATCAAGTACTCGAATTCAAATGAATTCTCGAGATGAAAAAATAAAACAAAAATTTGTTGCTTATTAGGAACTCAAATCAAATACTCGAATTCAAATGAATTCTCGAGATGAAAAAATAAAACAAAAATTTGTTGCTTATTAGCAACTCAAATCAAGTACTCGAATTCAAATGAATTCTCGAGATGAAAAAATAAAACAAAAATTTTTTTGGAGACATAATTTCTGAAATAGTCCATAAATTCTGGAATGTTTTCACGGTGAAACTTGATATTTTAAATTTAAGAAAATTTTTAATTAGGAGTGACAACCTGTAAAAATTCTTGTGATAAATGGCGAAAAGTAAAATTGATATGAATTCAGACCACGCGCCCGTTTAGACTGTAAACGTTAAATATTAATCTGAGACTCAAATAGGGGTGGGGGCGGGATATGAACATAGTACCGAAAAATCTTTTAATTTTCCTGATTTTTATTTCTTTAAAAAATTTTTCTAATCAATTCTATTTCTTTTCTATTTTTTTAGCTCCCATAATTTTGTCTTATTACTCCGTTCGAAGAATATTGCGCCAATTATTCGAAGAAAATGGCTGAGCTAATCGAGCTCAGACCCCTAAACTTAATTTTCATCTATTTAATAGATTTGAATCCTTCACTTAATCCTTTTATGTTCTTACTGGAAATGGAAATAAATAATTTTATTGTAATGCCTACTTATTTCATAATTTTGATAACAAATGCGATTATTGAAGTAAATAAAGCCTCGATTACTTTTGATGAAAAAATAACTCATCTAATCATGCAGAAGGCCCGTGTTAAGGTTCTTGGCTCAACTATTGCTGACAACAAACAGATGTTTTATACGAATGCCTCCCTTGAAATGGGAGACTCCGTGGGTCTTTTGGTGTTTGAAGATTCTGGCAAAAGAGTTATTGGCGGTATTCACCATGGAACTGCAGTCACATATGACAAGTACAACAGAAAAAAGAAAATAAATTTATTTGTACGAGTATATGATTATAATTGGATAAACAAACATGGTTTATACTATGTAAGTATTTCTAATGTTTAAGACTTGTGTTTCTATAGTTATGCGAGACTTGATTCGGGCGTGTTTCTTGTTTTAATGAAACATGTATGTAGTGCAAAAAGAAATGAAGTGAATTATTTACTTCTTAGTCAGTATATAAAATCTAAAAAATTAAGGGGAATACATAGCTCAGTTGGATATTATTTTAGAGGAAATATAATGAATCTAATTAAATTTAAAAATTTTAAAAGATATATTTAGGCGTTTTACGTAAAGTTAAAAATTACCTAAATTACCCTTACACAATCTTATTTTATTTTTAGGCATGATGACCTTTACTAAATTGGATGGGATTATGTTTGGATTATAAATGATGATTAATAAGAATAAAGAACTAAAATTGATTTAAAAAGTGATCAAATATTCGGATAATTTTAATTGTTGTCTACCTTAAATTAAATATTTGTATTTCCGTTGAATTTACTGGGTTATTTGTAATAAAATATTAAAGTTGTTTAATTAAAAACAACGAAAACTTTATAGTTAAATCCATGGTAACTCTAAAGTCGTGACTATTTCATCAGATTCTATGATTTCACCTAAATTCATTAACTCCCTCTGCCTCGAAGGAAAATTTTTCTAATGATTATTATTAAATTTCACTTGATTACTATATCTCATTTTCAGGAGAACTTCACCGGAGATCAACAAGATTAACATTAATTGACTTCTTTTTGAAATAGGGGATTCTCCTCTTCGAAAGAACAACATCAACAGATTTCTCTTAGAGAATTCGGTAAAACAAATCCTTTCTCGGACAATTATTATATTGATTTTAAAATTATTTTTGATTTTTTTACTTAATTTTTTTTCTATTTCCAAGTCTCAGTATTTTTAGTCAATATCATAATAGAATTAACACTGCTTTTCAAAACTATTATGCTTATTTTTTCTATTTTTTATAGACTAGGCGCTTTACTTTTATATTCTTTTCCTTTTAAATTTCTCTCGAAAAGGGTATTTTTATTTTTGAATGTATATTCTCCAACAAAAAAGTGCCATTTTCTGTGGCCACAACACAAACACTACTTCTTTTTAGCTTAAAATAGAGAAAAAAGGAATATATAGCAGACCCGTTGGAGGGATATAGAAGAGAATGTTGGGGGTTATATAGAAAATATATTTAGCAGTAGCAAGCGTGCCAAGAAAAGAGAAATGATGAATTTTCCTTAAAAAGCTACACACACTTGTTTCTGCCATAAAATGCTTTAATGACAACCCGAAATGTTGTAGTAATATTTTTAATTGAGTTAGTATTTACTTGCTCGAATTTAACAAATTTTAATTTAATTAATTGAATTAATTGTGTTATTTTTATTTTAATAAAGTGAGTTGTATATTTTTATGATTTAGTATTTTAACAATTTAAAGATTAAATTAGTCTAAAATTATTTATACTATTGTTACAGACAATCCTGGTAACGAGAGTAAGAGTTGTAGAAGTTTATAAATAGAAGCTCTATTGACTAACTACGGGGCGCCACTTACACCTTCCCTCTTAATTGGGGTGCCACTTTTATTTTAATTTTATAGTCAACCGGACTACTTTTTTGTCCCTCGAGGGACAGAAAATCATCAAAATCTGATAAGTTTCAAGATAAAAGTTTGAGAACTAACAAAAATTTTTTTCCTCTATTAGAAACCAAATGGATCCAATTCAACAACAACAGCAATCATTTCAAGAAGGTCCCGATTCTTTATTCTCCCAGCAACCATTTAATACCGAAGAAGTACCTTGGTGGAAGAAAAATTTTCTTCTTCAACAGCCAACTTTGGTTAATGCTTGGAATGCTGTATTTCCAACTGTTATAGTTAATATATTTGGAATTGTTATTTTTCTTCGTATGGGATGGATTGTTGTTAGTTTTTAATTTTTAATTAGTGCTGTTGGGCATTTGACAATGGAAGTTAGCTACTGGGCCAGCTAAAGCTCATTCTTATGAATGTTCAAAGACGGGCTTTAAATTAAAAGAAGCCGGCTTGAATTCTATCAATTCAGAAGCCAAGTTTCAGTTCCAGAGTTCCGGATCCGGACCTGTAGCTCATAAAAGATAGGATTTTTATGAAAACAGGAACTGGAACCAGAAAAATGTCAAATATCCAGCACTTGATTTTAACAATTTTTTAAACAATTTTCAAAAGGAACAATTTTAGGGGACAGCCGGTTTCTTTCAAGCTATTATAGCACTTGCCTTGTGCACTTTATTCTCTTCTGTTACAGTTCTATCAGCCATTGGAATTTGTGAGAGATGCCAGGTACTGTAGAGACACGTAATCCTCGTAATTAGGGATGTCGGTTGGTTGCTGGGAAATCTCCGGATATCCTGAACTGAACTGAAGAACCGAAAGAAAAATTTTCAGTTCGGTTGTGATTAGACAACACTACTCATGACTCTCTCTTTTTCCGAGCCCTTTAGAAGACTACAAAGATATTTTTGAAATTTTATCTAGTGGAAGTCTTCTAATGGCAACCTCTCTCTTAACCTAAATAATAATCTCCATTAGAACATTAATAGTGAGACCCTCTCTAATATTAGGTCCCGGTTGATCAAAAATAAATATACAGTAAATCAAATCACAACCTCTCTCCATTCTTAACACAATTTTCATTATTTCAAAGGTTCAAAGTGGAGGAATCTATTTTCTCGTCTCTCATGTATTAGGAAAGCGTATAGGAGGTGCTATAGGAATTATTTACACATTTGGCCAAGCTTGTGCTACTTCTTTAGTTGCTTTAGGCTTTGGAGAGTCTATGGCACAATTAATGGGAATAGATAGCCCTGTAGCTATGAAAACATTTTCTGTTGTTATTTTGCTTCTTTTGAATGGTTTTTTGAATTTTTATGGGGAAATTTAGTAAATATTTTGTAATTTAAAAGTTTTGAATTTTGCTGGACTTCATTTTGTTATTCGCCTACAATTGTTGTTAATGTGCTTTCTTGGAATGGCTATTGGAGATTTTCTGTTTGGGGCATTTTTATTTACACCTTCTGACCCTGGTAAAGAGTTGTTGGTATTTTGGGGGTGAAAAAAATTTACGAAAATTTTCAAAAAATTTTTTTTTGAAAATCCAGAGGCCGGTATCTACCCACTAACTGCCAAACAACTCTCAGCTAATTGGTATTCAAATTATGGATCTGAAAATTGCAGTGACAGAGCAACATTAGCCCTAGGTGCTGCTGAAGATCATCAACAACAACATTATGAGGCTAATAATTTCTTTAGCGTTTTTGGCGTTTTGTTTGCTAATTTTATTGGTGTTTTGGCTGGTAATAAAAGCTTTTTTTTAAATTATTCTCTCAATAACTCACCTTATCGAGAATTTTTTTTTCTAGGAAACGAAGGAGGGGAACTTTGTGGTAGAGAGGAACTTGAAGTAGAGAGTTCCTCTCTTTTCTAGTAGAGAACAACTTGGTTGATGGTACCAAAATTTAAAAATCCTGGGCCTGTTCTTTTCTCAAATTTAAACCAGGAATTAAATTGAATACAGGAATCTCAAAGAAAACCAGGATATTGTGTAGGAATAGGCCGATCGCTTTTACCATACCTTAAAAAAGACTTTTCAAACTATTTATATAAAAATATTTTTTATGTGTTAACATGAGCGGCAATTTGGTTGATCCGTTGAGGAATATAGCTGAAGGTGAATTGGGGGCGCTTGGATTTAGTTTTGGTCTTTGTTTTGTGTTTATGTTACTTTTGGGTGCTTCTGTTGACAGGTAGATAAATAAATTAATCGAGGAGGGAATTGAATTAGTGATTAGAATTACAAAAAAGAAGAATTTCCTCAGTTCCTCTTCAGTAAAAAATTTATTTTTAAAAGAAATGCTCTTCAATGTGATGCAATGATATCAGAAAAATTATCATTAACCAAACTTGTATTTCTTGGAGGTCTTTACATTTCTTGTTTGTCAGCAATACTTTCTTCTACGTTGGGTACTTCTAGAGTAGTCCAAGGAATTGCTAATGAAGGATTGTTTCCTCAAATGAGCAAATTACTTATTGAGGTAAACAAATAATTGAATTATTGAGAATTCTTATAGAGGGAATTGCCCACTTTTCGAGAAACACCGGATTTATCAGAGCCCAATACCGCGGATTTATGAAGGTCGGATATAGGACATTTTGATATTTTATATTATCTTTTCAACTGCCTTGAATGGAGGCTTATTATGATATTTTAAACGACGTTCGAGTCATTTTTTCAGGCCTCATTTTTATCGGAATGGACCCATCGAGTCTTTTTCGAACCAAAAATCAAAGCCCGATTCTCTTTCGAACCGAACCGGACCGGCAACCCTACTCGTGATAGTGAGGCCCACTTCCTTATTAACCTAAACTCACTGATCTCCTTGATAATAGTCCAGAATGCTCTGGGGAATGTTTCTTCGTTTTCTTTTTTCCCTCTTTTTTGCCCATTCTACATATAAAAATTAAAAAATAGGAATCTTCACCAACCCGAGAATCACACCGTGCAACAGTTTTAGTTACAGCATTTGCTATAATACTTTTATTGCTTGGAGATTTAAATCAAATTGCTATACTTTCTTCTCTTCCTTTTTTGTTTACCTATGCTACTGTTTGTTTCTTTTGAAATTTAATTTTTCTTTAAATTAATTTAAAAAAGGTCAATTATGCTTATGTTTCTCTTTCTATGAGTGATGACTTGGAGGTTTTGAATAATGAATGTGCTGCTGAAAATGAGTTTGTAAAAAAGAGAAATTATGCTGTAATTGGTCCAATAAGACTTTAGAAAAGAGAAAAATCCCTCCAATAGACGCCCATTAGTCTCCTAATGGATGTCATCTCTAATAGAAGCCCCCTTCTTTCCTATAGATTTTCAGTGTTTAGCTGGAAGCCGGTTTTTTGGTTTAATTCCGGTCAAGGTTTAGCTTACTCTTAAACACAAATATCCCTCTCAATCCCTGTGAAGATTCACTCTCAAATGACTGATAGTCTGATCTCGAAACAATACCGATTTCCTAGATAATATAGATAATACGTTCTCCGATTATGCCCACTTTCTATTGGAAATAAGGGAAAAATCTTTTCCAAAAAATTTTTTTGGTGTTTTTTCTTAAAAATAAAAATCTAAAAGCTCTTAAATCACAATAAAATTAAAGAAAATATTCTAGTAACAAACAACAAACAAGCTATGGAACAGTACAAGACGGGGCGGCCATTTATTCATCTCAGGGCCAACAAAGAAAATCTTTAGATGCTTTGTTTGCCCAAACAACTGAGGGAATTATCGGATCCACAAAACAAGAAAATGTTCAAAAAGCGTGGTATCAACATTGTATTAATCGTTATGTCTCCTTTGGAGCTGTTAGTTTTCGGAGAATTTCTCTCAAAAAATTTTCCCATAAAGGCAATAATTCACATACTTGTGGCTACTTTTGTTCATCGTTGGTTTGCCCTACTACACTTTATTGCATTTGCAGCTCTTTACCTTTATTTGGGGGGAACGTGTTCAGCACCCTCAGATCAAGGCAATAAAAATTAAAAAATATTTTCTTCCTGGGATCCCTTAAAATTGAATGTGTTAATGTTTGAGAACCAACTTCCACCTCTTTAAAGATATTCAGACGAAATTTTAGATAGAGCTACATATTTATAAGTAATTTTAACCGTAACACCAAACACTTCACATCCTTAATTGATCATTAAAAAATATTCTTTTAGGTGTTTCCCGTTTCTCCATAATGCATATGATTCGAGTAGCTATGTCAACTCAAGATACTCCAGACCTGAACTCTTCCCAAAATTCTGCCAGGCTTGTAGCCCCTCCCCCCTCAGCTTTATTCCAACCAGGAAATATACAACCACCACAGGCTTTGAACGCTCAGAATCCCGATTATGCAGAAAGAAAAAATTATCATCATGCTGAACAATTGGGGGCTGCTAAACAACATACTTAAATTGCATAGAGAGGAAGGAGAATTAGAAAACGTTCTCGATCCACCCATATGTTTAAGATAAAATTTTTTTAAATAGACCCAGTGATAAATTAAAAAAAAGTTAATATAAATTATTTTCAACAATTATGTAGAATTTCAGCAAATTTTAGTGACACCCATATCACGATCTTTTTGATTTCCACATAAAATTGAATTATTGTTATTTTTACAAAAAGGAAAATAAATGTGAAACAAATTCGGCCCTATATGAAAATAAGGGAGGAATCGGTTTTTCAATATTACATAATGGCCAGCTTTTTCTTACTCGTTCAATTCCATAATGTATATTTGCCTGTGCCTGAATCAAATGAGAAATGATAAAGAAAAGGATGAATGGAAAGGAGAATGTCTCGTTATTTGTGTTAAATTTTGGCCTTGCGTTACGTTTTGCGTAAATTTGGCCAAAATTAGGGCAAAAAACGCAAGAAATATACCCAATATGAGAATAAAAATTGAAAGAAATCCCTTCTAAAATTTTTTCTAAATTTTCGCTTCCGGCGGTGAAAAAGTGGTTCCTTGGCCATCTGAATTTCTCAAAACTTCCCCCTGCCAAATTGAAAAGCAAGTTCAACTGTCCTCACCCTCAATTAGCCATGCTCAAATGACCTTAACCGTTAAATTTCACTTCGCCAAAAATGACATTTAGACCCAAATCTTGTCTAATGTTCTCCTTCCCTTTACTTCTTATTTTTATTTTCTCTTATTTTTAGGGCTGTACTTTAGCCGGTTCTTTCGGGCTGTACTTTAACTGCGCAGGCCCGCTTCAATTTCAGCAGATACTCTTAAAGAATCTTGCTGAAGATATCAACCAAGTGAGTATACACATTATAAATCCCTCAAATAGTACATAGACACCAAAAATTGTAATAATTTAATCTTTGATATAATTATGAATCTGGAAAGAATTTATTATTTTTTAAATTTAGGTCAATTATCCTGAACCGTTCACCAATGTTTATTTGGATTATGAAAAGAACATAATGAAGAAAGCCAACGACTACCAGGCAAACCAACACCGGAATATGTCCTCTTCAGTGAACGTCATGTTTCGAGCTGTCCAAGTCATAATATTGCCTTGCACATGTTCGGTGGACAAGGTGATATTCGAGAACAAGGTTATAATTTAAGTAAAATATGCCTATAATATTTTCTTATTCAGCTAAGTCTAAATGTCAACGTGACGTTCGATACGGCTTGAATCTGCTTGGTTGCCTAGAAAGATACTTCCAAACATGGGTTAATTATTAAAGAAAATTATTTAATTTTAACTAAATTAATTTTAGACAACCACCGAAAGTTGCATAAGATGTTCCAAAAAGCAACTTCCAGCAAGAGCTTATCTTTGGAATATGCCTTCCATTCTAATCATCCACTTGGGACGATCGAAGTAATTAAATTTAAAAATTTAATAGATAATTTTAAAAATATTTTAAACAGGGATGAGGAAAAGAACGAGCGATTTGTTGATTTCCCACTGGAGAATCTTGACATTTCCTCGTATCTACACCCGGACTCGCCGGTTAATGGATTGAGGAAAGGAAATGTGCTTTATTCCTTATATGGAATACTCGTGAGTCAAACCCTTTTAATTATTCGTGTCAAACCTATATTTTCAGCAGCACCACATCGTCCATCCTTCGAATGGACACTTCACGTCAAAGGTTAAGAACCTCGAAACTAATGACTGGATGTTATGCAACGACACAGTAGTTTCGGAAATTAATATTGCTGACGTCAAAGTATAAATACAATTAAAATAAATTTTGTAAAAAAGAAATTTCAGACGTCTGACGCTTTCATGCTCTATTACAAGAGAATGGACAGGCAAGCTTTTTTTAAATTTTAATAAAATTTAATCACGAAAATCTAAAAAATATATACAAATTATACAAAAAAATGTCAAAAACATTTAAAAACAAAAAATAGCGTAAAAACAGACAAATAAAAAAACAGTAGCGGATAATCAAACTTACATAGAAACAGAAACATCAAAACTTCAAAATGCAAAAACAACGAAAATATTTCAAAACACCAGAAACAAAACATCAAAATATTTGAAATACTAAATATCACAAACGACAAAACATAAAATGTCAAAATGACAAAATCCCTCTTAAAAAGTCCCTCAAAGGTTAAAGTTTGTTTCGGTCTAAATCTTTTTTTAGAAAATTTCAAAAATTTTGTTGTTTTCAAAATCATAAACTTTATTTTCATAAATTAAATAAATTATAACTTTTTAGAATTTCCCTTATTGTAATTAACAACAACAACAAAACTTTCAACAAAAACAACAACAAAACAAACAACAAATACATATATCATAATAATCGCCTATCGTCACCTTCAATACCAAATTCAGCTCCAATTGTAATTTTTCCAAAATTCTGCTCATGTTATTTTTTACTTGGTATTCCTCACTAAGGTACTCCTCTCCTTTTATGTAAACCTATGTTTTTGATTAAGCACAAGAGAAATGTGCTCCTCGTAATATTTTTTAGTCCATGATTTTTAGTTTCAGCCCCATCTGTGAGATTAAAGTGTAATTTTTAATTCATGTTTTAGAAAATTGGTCAGGTTGGATTTACTAATTTTGCCAATTCATGTTATTGCAACTCAATATTACAAATACTTCTACACACGCCAAATTTTGCAAAACTTTACGCTAGCAACACGATCAAAGACCAAATCAACGAAAACAACAACAGAAATACCAAAGGCTATATCATCTACCATTCTTGGAGACCATTACAATGGTGAAACTCAGCAGGCTTCGCTACATTTCCATGAGCAGCTTTTAAGGGCACTTGCTGAGGATGTTAACCAAGTGAGTTTTTAAAATAAAATTGAATGAATTTAAGGCCGGAATAGGTCCCTCGAAAAATAGAGTTTAAGATATGAACAGAATTATGACCCTAAAACGAATTTCCTATATATTTTTTAAAATTTAGGTCAACTTTCCCGAAGACTTCTTCAACATTTATTTGATTGATGTGTCAACTGCTGCTAATGACTACGCTGCAAAAAAACGCCGAAACATGTCCTCTTCAGTGAACGACATGTTTTGCGCTGTCCAGATCACGGTTTTATCTTGTTCATGCTCATTGAACCAGACAATATTTGAGGACAAGGTTTTACTTTAAGTAGCATAAAACTATAATATTTGTTTACTCAGATCAGTCTAAACATCAACGTAACGTTTGATGCTTCTAATATTGACCTGCTTGGATGTTTGGCAAGACATTTTCAAACTTGGGTTAATTATAGAAAATTAAAATTTAAACGAATTTATTTTAGACTTCCAACGTGAAGTGTCATAGCTGTTCTAAGCCCCAACTCCCAGCGAGAATTTATTTTTGGAGGTTGCCACCCATCTTAATCATTCACTTGGGACGATGGAAGTAATTAAATTCAATTTAATAGATAATTTTAAAAATATTTTAAACAGAGATGGGGAAAAGAACGAGCGATTTGTTGACTTCCCATTGGAGAATCTCGACATTTCGCCATATCTCCACCCAAATTCACAAGTTAATGGAATGGGGCTTTATTCACTATATGGAATACTGGTGAGTAGAAAACGTTTTAATTACACGTGTCAAACCTATATTTTAAGCAACACCACATCGTCGATGCTGAAAATGGACATTTCACAGCAAAGGTGAAGAACATCCAGGCTAATGACTGGATGTTGTGCAACGACACCGTAGTTTCGGAAATTAATGCAGCTGACGTCAAAGTAAAAATACAATTAAATTAAAATTTTGTAAAAAAGAAATTTTAGACAACGGACGCCTTCACCCTCTACTACAAGAAAATGGACAGGCAAGCTTTTTAAATTATAATAAAAATTAATTAAAATCTAGAAAAATATATACAAATTATACAAGAAAATGTTAAAAACATTTAAAAACAGAAAAAATAGCGTAAAAACAGACAAATAAAAAAACAATAACAGACAATTTAACTTATGTAAATAGACCAAACAAAGCTTCAAAATGCAAGTTTGTTTCTCCAAAGTTTTTAAACTACTTAACCTTTTAGACTTCTTTATATGTCCTCAACTACTACTACAAAATTTTCAACAAAACAATTAACGGTAATACTTTGGTTTAGAGGCACTTCAATTGCACAATTACATTGCAAGTGTGCAGAAAGTAGAGAAACTGCAACACCTCCAGCACTCAATTTGAATTTCATTTTATTGCTTATTTGCATTTTGAAGACGTCTTTTGGAATTTGGTTTGATTTTATTCTTTTGTTCTCATCAAAAAAGCTTAATTTCGTCAACTTTCTGGTTAAGGTGATTTTGGGTTATATTTATTTAATGTCAATTAAAACCAGAGACCGATCCGTGATGAGATCTCGAACACAAATACATGATCAATCTTGATTCTCGTATTCCCTCACAGTCTTGTCTCTTAATTAAAACCCTGTAGAAAATGGACTGACATCAAATGGAACTAGTAATTTGTAAAAATTGTCCGCAAGTATTGTCTGCAAGGACCAAAAATTTTTTTAGATAAAATTTATTTTTCTTGCCAATATAACCCGATAATTCACAAAAAATTTGCTTTCAATTTCTAGATTCGGCACAAAACTTTCTTCGTGATTGTGGACCTACCATCAAGTAGTTTATTGTCCGATGCTGGTAAACTATGCAAAAATCTCATACAAAATCTTGGTGATATAGCTTGTAATGCTCTTTCTATTGTGCACAAGAAATGTTAATTAAATGATTAAATAGACATGAAAATGAGATTTGTACTTTTTTTTATTTTTTAAATATTCTGAATAAAACTTTGAAGGCGAGTAGAAGTAGTTTTCATTTGGGTTTCTTTCTTATTTTAAGGTAATTAAATTTAATTGTAGCCTTTGCTCCTTAATCTTTTTTTTGGCACTGTATAGTATTGTAATTGGTCACCTAATTATACAAAATTTTGGTATAAAAGTAAACATACAAAGTAATTTTTATTTAAACACAAATTTATTCGGTACTGTTAAAATCCGAGGATATAGTTTAGTCGAGGTCCTGCACCGAACCGGGTCAAATGATATGTCATTCGATTCGTCTCGGCGAGCTGAGTCGAACGGTACCACTCTCCAGGTGCGGAAATGCCTGTGGACCGAGATATAGGTCCCTGAAATTTGAAAAACCAAAGGGGGGAGTAAGCACTTTTTTGGGGTGAAAAAATCGATTTTCTGAATAATAGCTCATTCGAAAGAGCTCCTCGAGCTGAGTCGAATGACACCCAAATCACTGTGATTGGACAAGTTTGGGCCGAGATATAGGGCTCGAAATGGTCAACTTAAACCTATGAAGCGTCGGCGAGGCGCTTGTGCAAAACTCCGCGCTTCGCGCGGAGTTTTGCGGCACGCGCCTTGCGGGGAGTCTACGGGCGCTGGGTCTGGGCTCGTAACTTAATCCTATTCCTTTTTTCTGATTCTCAGCCTTGAATGCCGACCTACCCTCCGTAGCAACACCAAAACTGTTATTCAAGCGAAAATTGAATTGTTCATAATTTTGTTCAGAATGATCGGATCGAGCTGATTTTGGTGTCATTCAACTCAGCTCGTCGAGCTCTTTCGAATGAGCTATCATTTGTATAATCGAATTTTTGACCTCAAAAATCACCCCAGAAATTTGACAATTTCGAGTCCTATATCTCGGTTCAAACTCGTCCAATCACAGTGATTTGGGTGTCATTCGACTCAGCTCGAGGAGCTCTTTCGAATAAGCTATTATTCAGAAAATCGATTTTTTCACCCCAATAAAGTGCTTACTCCCCCCTTTGGTTTTTCAAATTTCAGGGACCTATATCTCGGTCCACAGGCATTTCCGCACCTGGAGAGTGGTACCGATCGACTCAGCTCGCCGAGACGAATCGATTGACATATCATTTGTCCCGGTTCGGTGCAGGCCCTCGACTAAACTACAGCCAAATCCGATACTATTTAAGGACAAATTTTTCTTCTTTCTCCACATTTCATTTATCTTCATTTATTTCTAATTTCATAGTTTATTAATTTTTAGATTTGAAATTATACTTCTAAAATCCCCAATGGGAGCAAAACATTCAAATATTAAAGAGGATCACACAAAATTTCCTTTCTGGTGTGGTTGTTTGCCTGATGCTGATGCTTTGGAACTTTTAATGAATAAAACGAATTTATGTTGCGATGTTTAGAGAATGATTCTTTAAGTTTGACGCTTTATGGTGGTCCTGCAAAGGTTATTTAATCTTAAATAATAAGATTTAAGGACATTTTTGGGTCCAAAAATTTGATTGGATACCTCCACTCTTTTTCAGTTCTCATTTTGGGAACTAGTTACGGAATTGGCAATCCAGAAGAATTGGGGTTTCTTCGAAAAAAGTTTTTAAAAATCAGAAAA